ATTGTCATAATAGAAGATCTGCCTAGAAAGGTGAAATATATTTTCTTAACTACAGACCTCTAAACCCCCACAAAATTTTGTAAAAGTAAAAAGTAAAAACAAAAGCCCACTGGATAAGGTATTTGCAGTATTTCTCACAAAATTCATACTTTAGATTTTAACCCCAACCACTGCCAGAGAAGGCAATTATGGAAGTAACAGAAACAATAGATCCTTAAATTAATAAAGCATCTCCCATTATTGCCTTTTTTATCCTTTCATCCCAAGAAAGGCAATAAAACCACTAAGACAGAAGAGGCTATAGAGAAAGTGAATAGAATGAAGAAAACTGTAAAACTTTTACAGAGAAAAGACAATGAAGATAAATGCTTAATAAGTCATTGTATCTATTTATCTAATTCCAGTTTAAGAAAAGGAAATTTTTTATTTCAAACCAGTACAAGAGCACCATCCTCATCTCTGGAATTAGTCAAGAATCTCTAAAATCCATAATACTCATGGATTGGTATACCATCAACAGGGATTGAAATCAAAAGTAACTTTACTCTTCAATTCTCTGGAGTTTTCTTCAGTTTAGTCACAGAGTACTTTCATCATTTCAGCCCAAGCAAAACAATAAAACCACTAAAATGCAAGACAGTGAAATTGTCAGTGTTCCTCTCTTTTCCATCATGCACAGGTCTAAGCATCACTTTAGTCCAATGAAGTCCTAAAGGATAAAACATGTCACACAGAAACTTTTTCCACTTTGTCATTGTTTCTTCCATAAAATTGTTCTTGATATATAAAATTAATATATTGTTTACCTGTATTATCTATGAATTCACATGTTCCTTAAGGAACTGTGTTCCTGATCAGACCAAACTCATGAGTAATTATATTGGACATACCACTATATGACTATCAAGAAGACTCACATTACACCTCATTTAGGATTCATTTTAAACACACAGAAATCTACCAAACTCCATCCAAAATATACTTGTAAAATATACAAGTATAATAGCCACATCCACATATAAAAAAGACTAAAAAAATAATGGAAGTACTAATAATAAAAAAGAAAAAGCCAACACTCAGTAACATCAACTATGAACACAGCCACAATGTGCTGACCATGTTTGGAAAAAACTTTTTCTATAACTCTAGATACATACATAAAAAAGCCATAGATTCAGTTAAAAATAAAAACCATCCTTGATAATGGCTAAAAGAATATCCAAAAGCATTTGAATATGCAGAACATTTGGAAAATTTTAATACACTTTATGCCAAGAAAAGAAAACATTTGTATGAAAACAAAAAAATTAAATAAAAAGCCTATTCTCCCTACCTTGTCAGTTGTCTTTAATGAAACTTGTATAAAAGAGGGATTGCTGCCCTAATACACAGTATATATATATATATATATATATATATATATATATATATATATATACTAAGCTTACTTTAAGTACATCATCAGGCAAAATAGAAAGTGTTAAGCTTAATCTTTCATGTAGAAAGAGTCTGCCTGCTTAGAAAATCAGCTTTTTTACTTGGGTTTTAATTTTTAAATGTTTTACACTCACTGTAGTTAGATGCTTTCTACACTTTTTGCTTATATATATATAAGACTGATTCCATTGATTTTTACATTGATTCACACACCCAACCACAACACACACACACATATACAGGTTGCGATGGGTAAATTGTCGCCAATTTATATTCTATATTTCACACATGCACGTTGTCTGTTTTTGATTTTTGTCAACTTCGCATTATAGTAGCATCAGTTGGGCACCATCTGTGAGAAAAAGATCCCCATGATGCAATTCACTCTGCCAGAAATTTGGAAAAGGCATGCTATACTGCCTGGCATTTGCACCAGAAGTTTCAATACAAACATTTCAGAGAGTTTGGGTGTCAATCTGAGGACAGTGCAGAGCATTCAGAAAGAGTTGGATAATATATCCAGTCAACATCATGGTGTTTGGAGTGATCACTAATGATGGCAATGTTATACGTTCATTCATCTTCCTAGGGCCTCAGGCTCAACATGGTGGCTTAACATCAAGTGGTTTTGAGGAGGTAGTGCTGCCCTGGGTCAAGAGGGTGGCTGCTGGAACAGGACTCTGCACCATGCCACACAAGCAGGAGAACCCATTCATGGCTGTCAAGACAATTTCTGCAACCACATCATGGACAAAATCACTAACAAACAACACACATGCGTGAAATGAAAATTTTAAAATGAAGGCAGTTTACCCGTCGCCTCCTGTATATGTGTGTGTGTGTGTGTGTGTGTATTTAGGTGGTACATATCTCCACCTACTCATATGTTAATTATGCTTAGTTATTGTTGTATAGGAATAAAGTGTCATTACTGGCACTGTAGTTTGAGCACAGATCACCAGTGAGCAAACCCAGATGATTCCATTATTGAATAAGTAGATCACATGATCATAAAGGAAAAATCTAAATGGAAATTAGCGTGACATCTAAGTGATTGCTATTCTCTATACTATCCACTATACTATTTCTCTATACCGATCATTATACGAATTACTATTCAGCAATTACTATTTGAACAAGTGTTATTAGTGAAGCCATTACTGCTACCAGTATCTTCATTTACAAAGTATCATCTACAATAAGCATTTCGGAAATGATAATGAGCATTTGTTGACCTAACAGAAGTTACAACGAGTGAGTGAATCACAATAGTTATTAGTTTAGATTTGGCACAAGACCAAAATAATTGGAGAGCTTACTACAGTAAGTAATGGTCTTCTAGACTAACTTGATAACTATTGCTCCAAGTTAGGTACCCAAGTTATTTATTGAGTTAGGTACCCTATGTACTAAGTCTAACTAAGATCAAAAGCAAGGTAATAATAATGGGAAAACTGTAAGAATTGAACTTTAGCTAGGGACTTAAGCTCTTCTATGCTGTTTCTTCTGTCACACTTCTTGCTTGTGGAACTCTCTTCCAACTTCTTACTTTCCAGTGAACTTTGATCTTCAAAAATCTAACGGCAATGTCAATTGTTATCTTCCTGTTCTTTTATTGTTCTCTCTCCTTAATAATGTTTTATTTTTCTCATATTCTCTCACACTCAGTAACCCATTTCATTTTAGTGGCTTTATTGCCTTGTTTGGAGTGAAATGATTTTTTTTAAAAATGGGGATATGAAGTCTGTAACCCTTATGTCATAGGACATGACTATCAAAAATTTTCTCAAATGGAAAAATCAAGAAAAATAAGTTGCAACAAGAAAATACTTGGATATGAAGCATTTTCTGTAATTTGTAAAATTGGGGGGCATTAAAGTCATCATTATTGTTTGTAAGCAATTGTAAGACGCAGTTTCTGATCTCAACATAGCCAATTTGTCAAGGAGGTGCTTTCTTGATGATATCATCCCCAGGATGATATCATCCTGTACCGTCAGGATATACCTGAAAATCATACCAAGAATTGACCCAAAACTTATGAATGAAACTGGGAAACAAAAATTCTCAGGAGTTGTCCATGGTTGTGCTAGCATGAACTTACAAAGGCCTGAGGTATAATAACTTTGTCGGGTCAGTCAGAAGTTGCTGTCTCAAAAGTCAAGAGTCAAATGACCAAAATCAGTCCTTTACGTACAGGCTCCAAGTGGCACTTCTGGTGGCATTTAAAAAATATTCAAAATATAATGTAAATTATTAATTGACCACTGACAACATTTCCCTCACATTTTTCAGGGACTTTTTTTTGTCAGCCAGCACCTGATTAAGGGAATCTATAAATACAAACCATAAAGCAAACAAAAGCCAGTTGAAGCATGAATTCCACATTGTCAATTCAAATAGATTTCTAATCAACATTTTCCACTTTTCTGATGTAGATTCTACAGTGAACCTAAGGCACAAACTTTTCCCTTTTCAAAGGGTTTTATCATTAAACACACATCAATATGTCTCTGTGAACTTTTCCATTTCTTATGGATTTTATTAAACACACCTCAACGTGTGTCTATGAACTTTCCTATTTCAAAGGGTTTTTTATTGAACACACCTAAATTTCAAAGGGTTTTTATTAAACACACCTAAATGTGTGCATGTTCTTTTCCCTTTCAAGGGTGTATTTAAAAACACCCCAAATGTGTATATGTGAACTTACCCTTCTTTTCAAGGGTTTTATGATATTCACCACACGATATATAAAACATCCAAATAAATTGTTATATGTTGATAAATGTTTATCTTCAGTTTCATTTTAAGCTCACTTGTTTAAATGCATTGCCTCACCATTACATTGTTGTGTCTGTTTTCTGTGTATGCTTGGTTAAAATGTTTTATTATGGACAGCACCTGGAATAATTAGTAATCACTGCTACTACTTTAAATGAGTTAGCACCAACAGTGTATCACCTTCTGCACCCCATAAATCAATGACAATTCAATCACAACTTCCTCAGAAAGTCAGCTTCCTCAACAACCTTGTTTGAATGCTGATTATGTAAGGTCCACTCAGAATATTCACAGTATGAACCACAGTTTGGATGTGTTTAAAAAAAACAAATGTGCCTGAGCAGGTGTCTGCAGCAAGGATTAACTAGCCACCCTAATAGACACATGAATGAATGAAATTCATTCATGAGAATATTCACATTGTTTATCCTTCCTTGTAAGCTCTCTAGCTAATTTTTTTCTACACAAGATGATCTTTCATTTTCTTCCTCCCCCAATAGTCATACACTCAAAAATGATTGATTGATTTGTTTTTTATGGCTTATCAACCTTTTGTAGATTATTTAAAGCCAGAAAATATTTTCAGATTTTAAGAATTTGGGGGAGATAATAATGATTTACTGATACAATTCTAACTATTTAACCCATAGCTGGAGAGACAAGAGGTGGAGTCATACATTTTTCAAATGTATTTGTGTATAAATTTGACTGGAAATGTAACACGTTTTTCTGATTTCCTATTTTGAGCTGTTATTCATTACACCACATGCACATCCAAGCTTACAGCACCTGGTATTCCCAAGCAGTCACCCATCTAGGTAATGACCAGGCTTGATGTTGCTTAATTCCAGTGATCAGAGGAGAACCAGTGTTTTAACATGATATGTCTGTAAGCCCTGAACTCCTAATTCTATAGATCAAAATAAATTGACAACAGTGATCAATGTCATTGTCCTTTAATTTAATATATATATATATATATATATATATATAGATAGATAGATAGATAGATAGAGAGAGAGAGAGAGAGAGAGAGATAGGAAGGAGGTATGGTGAAGTAATGGATAGCAACTTGGATTGAGTAATTGGAGAGCCGAGTTCAAATTCCATTCGAATCTATTAGACTCACTTACGTGCTAATACCCTTGGGAAAAGGTATGAATTCTCTTTTTCTCCTCCCAGTTATCGGTAAATAGCAGGACAGAATGGGTTCTATAGCCTTAAATAGCAGTTAGGAGAAAGACAACTCTGAATTCAAAACCTGTCGGGGGTCGTTTGGAGACATTGTGGCAGACGGTGCACCAGGTCTCTGTATTCAGCTCTTCAAAATGTGTGGTTGGTTCTGAACAAAGCCTTCACCACTGTAATCAAGTCATATGTCAGAAAGTCTGGCTGTCAGTTCCTAGGAACTGAGTTGCTTGACAATTATACATTGCAATGACAGGAAAGTCCATTTATATATATATATATATATATATATATATATATATATATATATATATATATATATATATCAGTTTAAATTTGGAGATGATATATATATATATATATATATATATCATCTCCAAATTTAAAACAAAAATAGAAATTTTATTTCAACTAAATTCCAAATAAGAGAGTAAAATCATAAGTAAGGTTTCCAATCCTGTAAAACAATTTTTAAACCAGATGAAATAATGAAACTAGTATCACAATGAAGTCATTTTATTTCCCTTCAAAATTATGTGGATTAATTGATAAGGCCCCCAATTCTACAGCCTAAGTTTTAAATCAGATAGAATAATAAAACTGATATCCAAATGAAGTCATTTTATTTATCTTCAAAATTACAAGTTTATTTTACAACATAGTCTCCATTTAGTGTTACACATTTCACCAAACATTCTCTCCATTTTCTCATTTCATCCATAAAGAAAGTTTTTGGTTCCTTTTTAACCCAATTGTCAATGACAACCTCAGATTTAAAATTGGAGAAAAAATGTTGACCTTTTAATCCCTCTTTCAATTTCACTAAGTTTGAGAGTGCCAAATCAGTGCTGCATGAAGAATGTGCACTGACTGTGCATTTCAGACTGCATACTATTTGTACCATTGTCTGCAATGCAGCCTTCTATATCATGCTATATATAAAAAAAAAAGAAAGTTCTCTTTTCAAGCTTTATTCAGCAGATGTATTGTTTGAATGGTTACAAAGTTTCATTGTTTTTGTGAATTCTGATTGGCAAACAAACTTGAAGTGCCAAAATTTCTATCCATAACTCAGACATGATTTGATTTGTTTAACGGCATATCAACTCTTTATGCATCATTTAATGCCAAAATTTAATTCTTTGGGAGCTATGAAGTTGTTTTTTTTAAGCATTTCACCCCAAACAAGGTGGGAAGCCACTAGCACACAAGGGGTTACCGAGGATTTGGAGTGAGAGCAGATAGGAGGGATAGAGGAAAGGATAAGGAGAAGGATAGTGGATAGATCAAGGCAACTGGAGATGTCGATTGACATTACATTTGAATAGTTGGAGATTATAGCTATCAGGGAAACAGAAAAAGGAGAGGGAGTTCCACAGACGAGAGGTGTGAGATATGAAGCTATTGGAGTAGAAGTGACGGCTACATTTAACAGTTTCAACAGTGGAAGGGTGAGAGCAGGATGCCAGCCTCATAGGACACTTGAATTCATGAAGTCTGGAAACCAGAAAAAGCAGCTCATTGGAGCAATTACCATGAAAGTATTTGTAAAAAAGACAGAAAGGTGATGGCACATCTGTGAGAGAGCGACTGCAGATGAGATGCCAGATCAGGACCAATTACATTGCATATCCATCTCTGGATCTTATCAAGAACCTTGAGTCAAACAGAAAGGGCTTCAGACCATATATAGCAGCAATACTCCATGCAAAGGCAAATGGTTGATTTGTAGATTTGAAGGATTGATTCCGGTGAGAAAAAATTCCTGGCGTGGCACAGGGAGCCAAATTTCCTTGCGGTGGACGAAGCAATTGACTCAATGTATTTGTTCCATCTCAAGTCTCAGGTCAATGTAAGACCAAACAGCCACAAAGAGGTGCTCTCAAGAAGATGAGCATCAGACATTTTAATGGGGGGTAGGGAAGGATTTCTGTAGTGATTAATAGAGAGCAGTTTTGTTTTTGGAGGTGTTAAAGTTAACCAGCCAATTCCTGCCCCAGTTCACAACCGAACAGCCAGGTTAGTTTTGTCAGTGACACTAGATTTGTTTTTGAGGCAGGGGTAAATTGTAGTGTCATCCACGTAGATGCCTACTTGGGAATCTATGACGTCAGGAAGATCGTTGATGAAGATAAGGAACAGAGTAGGGCCTAGGATGGTGCCATGGGGAACACCTGCATTCGTGAAGGAGAATGACCTTCAATTCACGGTTTGACAGGAATGATTGTATTAAGTCAAACAATCGACCTGTAATTCCATAACCCTAGAGGTTGCGAAGAAGGCCTGCATGCCAAACCCTATCAAACGCTTTGGAGATGTCTAGAGCCACGGCACAAGCTTCTCCATTATTTTGAAGAGCTTGGTAGACAATTTCAGTGATGGCTGTAAGCACATCAGCTGTAGATTGGGCAAAGCAGAAACCATATTGCTTGTCTGAGAGCAGATCATGGGATGTAAGGTGGTTAACCACTTCAGTGTTGATTAAAGCTTCGAAGACTTTGCCGAAGAGCAGTAGGAGACTGATAGGATGGTAATTAGAAGGGTCAGAGTTCTTAAAGACAGGAACAATCAATGGGGACTTCCAGCAGTCTGGAAAATAAGATTCCTTGAGACAGTATATAATTTGGAGAGGGCGGGCACCAGTTCAGGCACACATTTCTTCACGACAATGGCTGGTATCCCATCTCTACCACTAGCCTTGTGGGGGGTCTAAATTAGAGATAATGCCCAATACCAATGATGGGGTTATGTGCAACCCACTCAATAGGACCTCAGTTCTAAGAGGGAAATTGGGTATGGGTACACCGGAAGAGTTAAGCATTGAATTGAATGAAAATTTCCAAGCAAAGCATTCAGCCTTGTCGGCAGAGGAGGTCAGGACCTCAAACTGGTTGAACAAAGGAGGTAGTAATAAAAATATAATATATGTTATTCTGCTTTCACAATTGAATACATGGTAGATGATACTTGGCTTTTGTGCATATACATGTTTGTGTGGACATAATTACTACAGGCAGTTATGTGTGTGTTTTATATTGTAGTTTTGTTGAAGTTATATTTGGGAATACAGTTTGATTTCTTTAAGAAATTGTAGGATATTATATGGATTAATGTCATGAAAGAGTTTTTTCATGGTTGTTTGCTTAGTTGATTTAGTTTAGTAGCGTATCAACCTCTATGGACTATTTAATGCTGAAATCTAAATACAGGGTGTTCTAGAATTCTTGGGCACATTTCAAGTCCCCATATCTGCTGAACTATGAATGGTAGTCAGATTGGTACCATTTTAAAGCTAAATTCATTAAGCTTTTTGTAATGCTAATGATTTTTTTCATGTTTTTTTCAAATCCAATAATAGCATTCACTCAACCAGAAAAGGCATTTTGTGTCCTTGAATTTGCAAAAATTGAATCATGAACGCATGTTCAACATGCACTTCCCAGGTCTCCAGATCTCACACCCTGTGATTTCTTTTTGTGGGGGTTTGTGAAAGGACTGGTCTATGTGCCTACCCTTCCAAAAGCCATGGATGAACTGAAGTCTCAAATAATGGAAGCTGTTGCAACCATCAACAACACAATGCTGGAATGCATTTGGCATGAATTGGACTATCAGCTTGATGTGTGCTGTGTGACCAATGGTGCTCACATTAAACATCTTTGAACATTCAATGTAAAACTTGAGATTAAATTCTTTCAGAATATGTCAGGCGAGTTTTTATATCCTTAATAGTTTTTGAGATATTCACTGTCAAAATGTGCCCAAGACTTTTGGGACACCCTGTATTTTGAACACATTTGTATCCCTTCAACTACAGATAAAATGTATTGTTGGTCATTTTACTATAAATAGGTATTGTTGGTAATTTCTTTTTATATAAAAATGCATTGCTGGTAGTTTTATAATTTCATAGGGTTTTGTTTTTGTTTGGGTGTTCTCTATTTGCCTATAGCTGGGATCCTAACCGGTGCTACCACCTTAAGTCAGGGTGAACCTGGGAACAACAGCAATTAAGCAGTAGTCCCATGCTCCTCAAAACCTCTAATGTTCCAATCAGAGGCCTTGCTGTTGGATGTAGTTTATCATCATACCCAGGACTAACTCAGATATCATACTCATGACTAATGAACATTATTACTTAATGTCATCGTACATCAAACCAACACTAAACACATTTGAACAGGAATTTATATATAACTGAATACATGTTCAAACATTTCTATCTCTGCTATTGGAAAATCTTACTTATCAAGCAACTCTTGTAGAAAATCAGCTTGACTTTGCTTTATTCTGTTAACAGCTGCAGAATCAAGAGAAGCAGTTCACCTAATACAAGGCACAAGATCCACTCAAGGTAGGGGGTTACTGAACGCTGTTGTTGTAAAGGCAGAATGTAGGATAAATAATGGCTAACCCTAGACTTGAACAGGTTAAAAGTGTAGTGATCAGAGAAGTATCCTTTCAGGCGTCTGTTTTACAAAGTATTAGGTTGTACGGAAAATAATTCCCAATTTTGGAATAAACCTTTTAATTGCATTCTGATATATTATTATAATTGTTGCATAAATACATATTCCTAATGAGTAAAGTGTCCCCTATTAATTTTATATCAATCTCTTTCAGAATTAAACTTAAAACATTATATACACCTCATCTTCATGTTAATGCTTGGTTGCATGTTGCCAGAAGGACACTG